TTAGAATGCCCTCAAATCGCCCTCTCTTTCTTTGGTTCGTCCCTTGGGTGTTTGGGATCCAAAACCCAGCTCTCCCTTGCAAAAACGCACAAAACAGGCTTTTAACAGCCTGTGTTCGCAATAGGGGATTTTTGGGAAAATCCCCTATCAAGGCCAAAAATCCCCTACCGGGGATTTTACCGTCACGATAGGGCCCCTTATGTTTCTCAGAGAAGCCCGAAACAAATTTTCCCCTATCTTTGATTCTTCGTTTCTCCCTCTTTCGGACTCCAAATCAGGTGCCGTTTGATCCCAGACACTCGTAGTCTCGTCCTCTTTCTTCTCATGACAAGATTACATGATTATATGGTCACAAACTGAGGTATAAATCCATTCTTCTTCAAGTCATACCCTAGTTTCTTCCCCCGAGTCGCCAATTGATCTCCGATTGACTTGAAACTTGCGCCTACGCTTCACTTTATGTGCTAGGACCTGAAATGTGACAAAGGAACACAACCTAGCGTAAAATAGACCAAAGAAGCGATACTGCAAGCTTAAACGATCAAGAAACAAAGGGGTGTGCAAATATCGAGTCATCAACCTCCTATGGCCAAAAAGGAAATTTAAAATGTCAGGTAAACTATACGGAAAACGCAATGGACATCATCGAAGTTCATATAGCAAGAGTGAATTCTTGAGGCAAGGAAGTACAAGAATGAGGAGTACGGAAGAATGAGTTCGAGCAAATTTCGGGGACGAAATTTTTATAAGGGTGGAGGAAATGTAACATCCCGAATTTTTGGATTAGGTTTAACCGGTAATCGATTCGGTTTAGGTTTGAGTAAAGGTCATTAATCCAAATAAAGGATAAATAGGTATTAGTAAATAAAAAAAAATAAACTTTTTCTTCGACCTATCCCTGTAAATCTCCATACCCAAAATCTTCTAAGCAGCTCCCAAATCCTTCATCTCAAACTTAGCACTGAGAAGCCCCTTTAACCTCTGGATATCATACTTCGACCTCGCAGCTATGAACATATCATCCATATACAGAACTAGATATATCATTGAACCATCCGTTGCCTTGCTATGATATACACAGAAATCATAGGGACTTCTGTTGAAACCCAACTCAAGCATGTAGCTATCAAACCTCTTGTACCACTTCCTCGGAGATTGCTTAAGTCCATTCAAGGACTTCTTCAGCTTACAAACATAGTCTTCTTTTCCTGGAACCTGTAATCCTTCTGGCTGAGTCATGTAAATTTCTTCCTCCAACTCTCCATGTAGGAAAACTGTCTTCACGTCTAGCTGCTTGAGATCCAAGTCATAATGTGTCACTATCAGTAGCAACACCCTGATCTAAGTGTGTCTGACCACTGGTGAGAAAATCTCATTGTAGTCAACTCCTTCCCTCTGTGAGAAGCCACTTGCAAGTACCCGAGCTTTAAATTTCATGCCCTCTTCTGAAGTAATTCCTTCCTTTTTCTTGTAGATCCACTTGTTTGTAACAATCTTCCTTCCCTGGGACGTTTGACCAACTCCCAAATCTGATTCCTGTCATGGGATTCCATCTTGTCCCCCATTGCAGCAAGCCACTGAGCAGCAACATGTGGAGGTACTCAGCAACCTTCTCTGTAGGACTGTGGTTCATCCGCATCCACCTCTTCAGCAACCTGAAAAGCATACGCCACCATGTCCTCGAAGCCATACCTCTATAGAGTACTCTAAAGTTTTTGGCTCATCAGAAACATCCTCATGTTGATCTTCTCCACCTTGCTAGTCAAACTCACTCTCTTTGAGTGTTTGAAGCTCCACTTGTTTATCAACATTCCTGCTATCTCCAACAACAGTAACCTTCAACATGAGGTTAAACATAGACTTCTCATCAAATATCACATTCATGCTAAGTATGGCTCTATGCTCAGAAGGTGACCATACTCGAAATCCTTTAACTCTATCTTCAGAAACCACAAAAACACCCTTCTTTGCTCTTAGATTCAGCTTACCGTCATCATCATGATAGTAAACAGGTCAACCAAAAACTGTCAATGAAGAATAATCAGCAGACTTACCATACCACACCTCATAAGGAGTACACTCGATACCTATGTGAGGTCCACGGTTGATGAGGTAGCACGACATGTTTACTGCTTCTGCCCATAACCTCCTCTCTAGTCCAGCATTAGAGACTAGTGAGCATGCACCTTGCTCTCTCCAACAATGCTTGGTTAATCCTTTCTGCAATCCTTTCCCAAGAGTTTCTCTTCGTCATTCTCTCTCTAGGGTTCTTTTTCTGCCTTTAGAAGTCTAAAAATCCGGTTCCTTTGCAAATTTCTCGAGCAGCCTTTAAATAGGCTGAGAATCCGCGAGTTACGGCCTAAGTTACGGCCATAACTCACCTTGACCGCCCATAACTTGAGGAAGAACGACGTTGTTGTTGCACTCCATAACCCAAGAGTTACGGTTTTCTTTGGGGAGTTACGGTCCCGACCATAACTTGAAGAGGGAGACCGTAACTCCAAAGATGCTTATGGACTGATGTCGACACTTCCCAGGAGTTACCGATGCAAAGGTGATTAGGGTATCCAGTAGCCGATTCATCTCAACCAGCTGACCTTTGGTAGCATCCTACTGGGCCTGAATCAAAACTCCCATCTGCGCGGCAAGCAGTTTCATGACTTCTGCAAGATCTTGACTCTCCTCTCCCATGGCTTGTTATTCGATTGAGCTTTCTTCTTCAGAGAGTGATTCTTCCTCTTCTCTGCGTTATGCAATCGAATATTTGGACCTCGTTCGATAAGAAACATGTCCTCTCGCTTTCGATCCCGCCATTGTGTTGAACGGGTCTCTGATACCATCTGATACAAGCACGGAACCTGTACGCGTAGTTATCAAAGTACACAGCTCCAAGAACGAACATGAAAACAGATGTTTAAGGATTTTTGTTTGATTGAGATATGATGGAATTGAAAGTGCAATCTTAACACAAGACGAGAGAAGACTCAATCAATATAAAAGATAGAATCTTGACCACAATCAAGGGGAAAACTTGATTGATACAGAGAAAAGTTCAAGCCTCAAGCTCAAATCCAAGGTAAAATCAATATTCTGCTAAAAAACTAACCCTAAAACCCGAGTTCCAACCTTTATATAGGTTTGGGCAATTAAAATAATTAAAACAACTCAAAAACTCCAAATCTCGTCAGTCAGCCCGGAATCTGGTCAAAATACCCGGTCGAGTATTTTGGGTCACAGACCGGGCTTTTCCCCTACCTGCTTTCCCCGATCTCTTCCTCGTTTCTCCGGTCGGAGAATTCCTTCCAAAAATCCCCGGTCGCTGTCCTTTGGAATTCTGTCCAGCTCCCCAAGGCTCCTTTGTCCGCATTAGATACTAATTACTATTAGATAACGTGATATGAACAATTAAAGATTATAACTCAACGATACGAAACATGAGCTCAAGTCACTCTCACGAGCTAATTGATGAGCCGAGCTCGGGTAGAGCTTGTGAGCTCATTAATAAGCCGAGCACAAATCAAATACGAGCCAAGATTTTAGTTAACAAGCTGAGCTCAATCTCGACTCGTATATTAACGAGGTAAGCTCAAGTAATGTCAGAACTCGGCCTGATTCGACATGTTTGCAACCCTACTTTTAGTAGAGTTTTACAAGTTTGATATGAAAGATACCAGATAAACCTGTTAGCGGATCTGTTTGTGTTTTGGCCCATTTATGTACATATGTTTATTTTGGACCTTGTATGTTTTGGACTTGGAGACTTTGGGACGTGGCTTAGGGTTAGAGTGCATGGACGCTAGGGTTGCATGGGTATATATATGTCTGTCGTGTGATGTAGCTGGACAACTAGAGTGGTGATAATAAGATCTCAGCTCGGAGAGGCCATCTCTCCCGTGGACTAGTCCCGAATCTCGGAGATACCACGTATATCGTGTGTGTGATTTATTGTTTTATGTTTGATCAATCTCGATTTGTTAACATGGAATCAGAGCTTTCGTCTGGCAATTCTGATCGTCTTGCTGTTCGCCTGAACTCCAAGAATCATGCCTGGTGGGAGTTCCAGTTTCGTGTGTTTGTGGAGGGAAAGGGCCTCCTTGGTTTGATTGATGGCTCATCGGAGAAGCCTGCTGCTACATCACCTGCCGCGGACATCGCCAAGAGGCCGAGTATCGCTCTATGTCTGAAGTTGGTTCTGAACTCGTGTGGCTTCGTCGATTGCTTGGTGACTTTGGTGTCTCCTGCCCGACACCCATGCCCCTTTATGTCGACAATACGAGCGCGATCCATATTGCTGTTAACCCTGTCCTCCACGATCGTACGAAATACATCGAGATTCACATTCACTACATTCGTGATTTGGTTCGTGATGAGGTTGTAGTACTTCACTACTTGCCGACGGAGGATCAGGTAGCGGATCTGTTCACGAAGGGCCTTCACGTCCAGTCGTCATTGGTACCTGTCTAGCAAATTTATGCTTCGTGACCGACATCAATTTGGGGTAGGTTGTTAGCAGATCTGTTAGGGTTTTGGCCCATTTATGTACATATGTTTATTTTGGACTTGGAGACTTTGGGACGTGGCTTAGGGTTAGAGTACATTGACGCTAGGGTTGCATGGGTATATGCCTGTCGTGTGATGTAGCTGGACAACTAGAGTGGTGATAATAAGATCTCAGCTCGGAGAGGCCATCTCTCCCGTGGACTAGTCCCGAATCTCGGGAATACCACCTATATCGTTTGTGTGATTTATCGTTTTCTGTTTGATCAAGCTCGATTTGTTAACAAAACCGAGTATATATTCCGATTAGAGTTGGTGCGATGACAGTTTGATTGGTTTAAACTTTAATGTGTATTGGATAACAAAGATCATGAGGTTGATTTCATAACAAGTTAAATGATAATGACTTAAGTCGAAAGTTTTTTTTTTTTTATTTTAAGTCGAAAGTTATATTCTCCATTCTCTTCAGTCTTTTTGTTTGGAGTTGTATCGAGCATACTTCGGGACAAAATTCTTGTTCTCTTCATGCCACAGCACTAATTAATGATCGAAGTAGCTAAATTTCTGTATAATCATATTGATTGTTTGTTCCTGTAAAATGTTATGCTGTGTATATATCTAGACATTAATTCTCTATGCTAGAGGGGAGATTAAACTGAGCTGCTGTTGCTGCTGCTACACCACTCTGTTTGCCTGCAAAACCACTCTCCTCAGCTCGTTGGCGATTCCTTGAAGCAGAATCGGCTTCCTGATCACGCCATTCAGCCCCATCTGCATGCACTTCTCCCATAGGTCATCCTCTTCGGCCGCGCTGGACGATGTCATCGCGAGGATCAGCGGCCAGCTCCGGCTCCTGAACTTCCTGATCCTGGCCGCAACTTCAAACCCGTCCAGGTCGGGGAGCTGCAGGTCGAGGAGCACGACCTGGAACGAAGACGTGGCTGGCCCGATGGCGCTGAGGCACTCGTACCCCGAGGAGAGAGGGGTGACCGAGCACCCGAGCTTCTCGAGCAGCCTCCGGGTGACGCTCCGGTTCAGGTCGTCCGACTCGACCAGGGCCACTTGCAGGCCTCGGAGGAAAGAGTTGGAATTCGGGTGGTGCTCCGAAGATGTCGATTCCCCTGGTTCGGAGATGGTCAGGCTGATCGATTGCCGGAGCTGGAACCGTAGAATCAGCCCCATGTTCTGGACGAATCCTTGGTTATTCGGGACTACCCAGATGTTCCCTTGCATCATCTGCACATCCAACAATGTCAATTCGTTGCAAGAACCTTAATAAATGGTTGCTCTCAGATTCCAACAAAGTGAACTAACTGACTCTCAATGCATGAAGTGATGTGTTCCTACTATTCATAGGTTAGGCATGGTGGAATAGGAATCAAGAAGTCAACTCCATAATAGTGGTATAACTTCCAACTACAGATCTTACCATTACCAAACATTTGTCCAAAAATGAGAATGGTAACATGTAGACATCGAAAATAAGAACTCCCGATATTTAGATCAAAGGGCTTCCCAGAACAAGGCACTAATTGCAAGAATAAGAACAAGATAAATGCTGGCAGTTGCTACTAGTATGAATTCTGGTTAACAATATATGGGATTTTGCTTAACAGTGAGAAAATCAGATATCCTAAAGTCTATGAATATATATAGGGTACCAGGGGAAGGTCATACTCATACCTGGACCAGCTTCTTGCAAACAGTGAAGCTCAAGCCATGCTCAAATCCATCACTGGTATACCTTCGACCCCCGAGCTGCATAGCTGAAGTGGAGGCCTTGGATTCAGAATCACCAGAAGTTATTCCAATCTCGAATCTGATAGATACATCACCCTCAGAAGGGCTGTGTCTCCACACAGCCCATCTCTGATCATTCCTCTCCTGACTCCCATTATCGGCAACAACCCGAAGCAGTACAGACCCCCCTCTACTATTCCCGTCGAGAAGATTCCCAACCATATGAAGTATCACCTGAAAGATCCTCCTCTCATCTCCCATCACATGATCGGGCAATGACCTGTCAACTTCCATTGAAAAGCCAAACCCCTTATACACACATAGGCACTTGGCAAGGCAAGCTGCTTCCGTGATCATCGAGTGCAGCCTGAAAGACCGCGTGTCCATTGGAAACCTCCCGCTATCCTTGGTCGAAATTTCCATCACATCGTCTATCAGTATCGACAACACATTGCTAGCTTTCATCATTGTATCTACTATAATCTGTTGCTCGCTATTTTTCAAACTTCCATCTTGCATCATGGACACCAATCCTAGAATCGAATGCATAGGTCTCTTCATTCCATCGCTCATAACCTTTTGAAAAGCATTCCTGGCTTGGCTAGCCATTAAAGTGTTCATCTTTGCCTGCTGCAACGCTCGATTCTGCTCCTCCAATTTCTCCCTCATGAGCTGAGATTCTTCGAGGACGGCAGCATGGGATAAAGCAACAGCTACCTGATCGGCAACTACTTTAATTATCTCGAGCTCTTGATTGCTCCAAGACCTCGGCTGAGCACCACCAGGAAGAACCAACACCAATATCGCATAGCACGCTTGGATCATCTCAGGAGTTCCACCCTTGAAGTTGCAAACTCGAAGAATCGGCATCCGAATCGCAGCCACCGGACCGATGTGCTCGCCAGACTCTGTGCCTAAGCTTGCAGCAGCTAAAGGCGAGTCGGGGTCGAGTATGTTCACACTATCACTGCCCTTAATCCTTGCCACATCAGGATCAGATGTCCGTATCGTACAACTCTCCATGTTGCCATAATCGCCCCCATTCAACTCGTGCGTGAGATGCATCTCGGTCCTCATCTCGTTAGGCATCCAAACTGCGCAGTTCTGCAACCCTAGGGTATTCGAAAGCTCGACAAGGGTAGTGTACAGAATGGTGTGCCGATCCAGCGATTTGCGAATCTCCTGCGTAAGCATCCGGACATGGAGACCAGCCTCTCTCTGCTTCATAATCATCCCGACTTCTCTACCCAGATCCCAAGTCTTCTTCTTCAGCATGAATTCCCTAACCTTGACCTTCAACAGCAAAGGGATCAAGCTGAAGAGGGTGATGGCAGTGGCGCAGGAGACCAGGGCGGTTAAGATCTTGAAGACAGTGACTGCAACCATGAGCTGGAAAGTGTGGGGCCCGTAAGTCCAGCCATTGAGCAAGTGGGTCATCCCGCAGAGAACGATGAAGGCGATGAATTCGACGAGGACCCATTTGAACGGGACGTTAGAGCAGCTGATGAAGTAGAGCAGCTCGATTGGGATTGAAAAATAGGCGACGGCGATCAAGAAATCACCGACCCTCTGGCATTCGAGGATGCTTTCTATGCCCCAGAAACTGCCCTCGTCGTCGCAGTTGCATCTCGGGTAGCCGTTGTCGCTGTCTCCGGCGACGGAGGATGCGGAGAAGAAGAGCAAGAAAGTTATCAGCAGCAGCAGCCCAGGAGATAATGATTTGAACATTGCGGCCAGATTGGGCTGCTGGCTTTGTTTCAATCCATTTGGGGGAAAGCCCCAAAGTTTGAATCTTTCAACGATATAGATATTTATCCAGTTCCAATAACAGCAGCAGTAGCAGGCAGCAGCTGGCCAGTTTAGACTACGGCGGCCAGAATGAAGGAGGATCAATCAAGAAGAAGAAACCTCTCACCCTTCAATTCCTCACCTTTTCCCTCCCCTGATAAGGAAAAAGGCAAACCCTTTTTAGAATTCTTTCGTAATTAAAGCCAATTCCAAAATTGGGGATCTAACATCTAAGAACCATTGAATCCAACCCGATTGCCAACCAAAAAGATTTTTCTCCAAGTTCATAACTACACGCCATAAACATTTGCTTGCCTTATCAAACTGCTACCATTCCATGAATTGTCCCCTCTTTTTCTTTCAAGGAGAAAAACAAGGACGCAAGCTTGGATAGCTAGCTCGCAGTAGAAGACGACATTTTCCCTCAATCCAAACAAAGCTATTATAACCGAAAAAAAAAAAAAAAGAGAAAGACCCAATACAAGTGGAAAGAAACATTTCCACTTGCCATAAAGCAAACCAGCCGGCTACAACCCTTTTCCCCTCTTTCTGCTTCCTCCATTTCTCCATCCAGATACAGGAGAATCTAATCAGACCAGTAGAAGGAGAAGAAGAAGAAGGAGAGGAAGAAGAAGAAGGAATGCTGGTGGTGAAAAGAAAGGAGCCGTACCTGGAGAAAAGAGAAACAATTCCCAGATACCAAATCAAAAGAGACGGAGTGAGAGAGAGAGAGAGAACCCAGAAGCAGCTCTACTAGATCTTCTTCTCCATTCTCTTGCTTCTTCTTCCCCAGTCATGCAGAGTGTGGTGGCTCTCTCTCTCGGCCAGGAGGACAGTTCAGCTATGGAAGAAGCTCTCTTTTGAGTTATAATAATAGTACACACATTTTGTACTGGAATTATAATAAACAAGATCAAACCAAAAAAAGAAAGGGAGAGCTAATCCAAATCCAATCCATAATCCCCAAACTAGTTAACAAACATATATAATACCCCCAAAAAAGAAAGAAAAAAACAAGCACCCTGTTTTACAGAGCAACCTCCTGCATTTTATTATATATCCCCATGATCGCAAAACCCAATATTATGAATAGTTAATAAGAGGGGATCTAAGTGACTATCTCTGTGAAAATCTAATGTTCCTCCCTAATCGTTCCCTCTCTCTCTCTGGAGGGGGAAAGTTTCCCACTTTTCGTTTTTCTTCTGTGTTAGTTCCGCGCCGTTGTTTTGTTCTTCTGGGTTTCACCGTTTTAGAGAGAGAGAGAGAGAGAGAGAGAGAGGGTGGAGGGGACAAAGTGGGAGCCACAAGGACACAAGGTACATACATGAACCGAACTTGGACGAGCTTTTGAAACGAAACGTCCATGTCACACCAGAAAAGATTTGTTCTTTATTTTCCACCTCTTCACTCTCTGGTCTATTCTGGGACGGCTTAATTGCAAGTTTGGTCACTCGAATTGCTACAAAATTTCACGTTTGCCACTCAAATTAATTTATTCCATTTATAGTCACTTAAATTAGGTTAAGAGTCCAAGTTTGGTCACTGGCCGTTAGTCTCCGTTAACTTTTGCTGATGTGGCGGTCAACTCTTATAGTTGACCGTTAAATGAGTGACGTGGCGATTAAAAAATAATAAAATAATTTAATTTAATTATTTTTTATTTTCCACCTAATTATTATAAATAAAAAAAAACCTAATTCCTTTTTATTTTTTATTTTCCACCTCCATTTCCCCTTCCCTCATCCTCCGCCTCCTCGACGCCGTCTGCCGCTCGTGCTCAATCGGCGACGAGGTCATCGAGCTCTCCGTTCTCCGCGCCCTCCTCGCAGCCGTCCGATCCCCTTGCCTCCTCATCCGCGGCGAGGGCTTGGTCACCATTGTCAAGACCTGCTACAATGTCTACCTCGGCGGCACCAATGGGACCAATCAGATCTGCGCCAAGTCCGTTCTTGCGCAGATTGTGCTCATTGTTTTCACCAGAGTCGAGAGGACTCCATGGATGTGGCTCCTAGAACTGTCTCCGTTGGTGAATTGCTCGAGTTCACTGACAAGAATCTCAAAGGGGGGAGCTCCATTCACTTCAGCCAGAAACCCAGTTAGTTCCAGACGACGCCGCGAGGAGATCGAGAACGCCGCGAACGCTTCCCTCCCAATATCCACCGCTTTTTCCCCCTCACACCCATTTCGTCGAACACCTTCGATGAGCTCTTCAATCTTCCTCCTCCGGAGCTCCTGGTTGGAATCCAGCTTCTGGGTAGTGAAGATGTAGGAGTTGCAGACTTTTTAGAGGTTCCTCCACCTGGATTCGACGGGGAGCCACGGCATGCCAAACTGGTGGTGGTCGCGGGCTTGTATGGCGAGGAGGACCTGGCGGTTGCAGAGGACCTGGTCGTGCTTTTGGAGGATTTCTTTTGGCGACGGCTTTGGTCCATTCGTCGAGCAAAATTTTCCGAGGGCTTCAGATCAAAGGAACTCCGACGGCGGATTCCCTTTGCAGCCGGAAAGATGGATCAGTGCAGATCTGAAATGAGAATTACAGAGTTCCATGGCGAAAAGAGCCGCTAAGAGTCTTGGAACTAACTGGGTTTTTGGGTTCTCTTAGTCTTAGGTTTTTTTTATTTATAATAATTAGGTGGAAAATAAAAAATAATTAAATTAAATTATTTTATTATTTTTTAATCGCCACGTCACTCATTTAACGGTCAACTATAAGAGTTGACCGCCACATCAGCAAAAGTTAACGGAGACTAACGGCCAGTGACCAAACTTGGACTCTTAACCTAATTTAAGTGACTATAAATGGAATAAATTAATTTGAGTGGCAAACGTGAAATTTTGTAGCAATTCGAGTGACCAAACTTGCAATTAAGCCATTCTGGGACGTTTCTATCCTGGTTTGGCTTTCTCGTTTTTAATGCTTTCTTGCTTAGATGTTGCGCCTTTGCCTTCCTATTTCATTGATTATGCAATTAAAATCATATCCCTTTTGGAACTGTTGTTCATCTTCTTTGTTATAAGGAACTTGTTTAGGGGGACACAATGGGACCTCTTTCACTCTGCTGAATCAGGTGCCAAATGTGTACGTATCACATGGTAAAAAAATTACATTTGTAGGTTTCAGTCCACTCACTTGACTTTTCCAATTGGTATATTTACTTCGACTTTGGACGACTTCAATCCATCTGCAATTTTGTATGTGACCCATCTGAGAAACTTTTATCAGCATGCCACTTACAAATTTGATTCTACCCATGTCAATGGAATACACACACAGAATATACCATGATCACAAGTATTCCTCCACTTATAAATCTCATCGAACTCAACTCATCCAAGTTTGAGGGCTTTTCTAGAGCCGGTTAGATTGACAGAACTTGCAGGTACAGAGTTCCAATAAATGTTTACTGATACATTGTTTGGTAGCATCTCTCTGGCCAACTGAATGAACAGGATTGGGAACCCAACCTCACAGCAGCTTCTGTTTAAGTTTAGGTAAATATCTCATAGTTCATGTACGTTGAAGTACTTGTCAAGGGAGATGATTCCACTTCAGAGCTCAGATGTTATACACCGCGAGCTAGTTGCATGGGCCACTGCAACCAGCCATACACCGATGAAGCTCTAGAATTGTAGCCAACATAGTGAAGCCATAGAAAAGCTTGCTCTTCCAAAGAACTCCACCATCACTTCTTTACATCCAATAACATCATTGATGTCGCGGCATCTTTCATGGTCTCCTCTCAATCGTTTGTGCCAACCCTGCTGCAGAATACCACTTTCTAGGTGTTCTCATTTTGCTAACGACTCTTTCACTGGCCTGGTATCTAGGGCGCGTTTCATCCTAATTGAATCATTCATTTCACTATAGGCCTCTGCAATTTTGGTCACCATCTGTATTTGGCATGCTGCAGCACTGCGCTTCATCCTTCAGTTTCTTGTAACGTAATGCATGCTCTAGATATTCTTCAAGCTCTTTCTCCAGCTTCTCGATAAAGTGACTCGTGTGCTCCAGTGACTGTTGGAGCCTATATTTCTCCAAAGCCTGTGGATCATTTGATTTTCAGTTCATATACAATAAATATGAGAAGCAATTTAGCCATCACATCAGCTACAAAGTCCAAAAAGACAATGAGACATTAGATGCCATGCAGCACATGCAAAGCACATACCTTTGCTTTTGATAGTGTCTCAGGAGGGGACATAACTTCTGGCTGCACATAATTCTTCCCCCTATAGAATACAATGGAATTGTTTGGCTTTATATCGATTACAATTCCTTTGCTCAATCGAGAAAGCTCATCCGCAAAATCATGAATTTGCCCTGGGCGGCAAGGTTTGCAAATAACCTTCACGGTCTCGTGCTTCTTCCAGTGAAGATGCATATTAAGAACAACACCTCCAAAGACACCTCGCCTCCCAACTATAACAAAGTTTTTCTTCTTCTCACCTGTGCGCTTGAGGTAATGCTTCTCTTCCTCTGTCAATATTTCAGGATCATAGGTTTCAGGAGGACCCCTTGGAAGGTCAAATTTCATCAGCTTCTCAATCAACCATGCCTCTTTTCGTTTGGCCTGATGACTTTCCCAAAGTTAATAAATGCTTTATTAAGAAAATGAAAAACATTATTTAAGGGAGGGACTCCAAAACTGGAGGATCAAGTCACATTGAAACAGTGGGGAAAATAAGCTGTGCCTGATTAAGTGAAAGAAAGTAAGGATACTATGTTCTTTATGATGCCATCCAAAGTAACATTTCCAATAATCAAACAAAAAATAGGGTCGTGTAATTCTCTTGCAGCTTCTTAGTAGATAACACAACAAGTTTTTGTGGAAAAAGAACTGGCAGCCAGGAGAATAAGAGAATAGTGACGGCAGGATTATAATGAAGGCTGCCAAAGTGCCAAGAGAAACGAAGATGGAGACCACTAGATCATACAAACGATAAAATTTTCAACCACAAACCATCACTGGACTTGCTTAACAGAAGAATATAATGTCAAACCCATACACACAAATTTCCCAAGCAGTTATTTGTGGACAAGCAAACAGTGACTGAATAAGTAGATATATTGCTACAAGAAGGACAAACCTTTTCAAGCTTGTATCTGATTCTCACTTCTGGGTTGGAGGAGTTCATCTTCTTTTTCGCCTTGAGACGGTAAAATCTGAGTTCATTGACCTTAGCTCGTTTAGACATTTTAACCTTCTTAGGTTTCTTGTTTCCCATTCCTGAACCATCTTCTCTCGATAACTTACCAACAGAGAACTTGACTACATCACTATCTGTCTTCAGCTGAAGTGATGGCCCGGTCGTCCTGTCTCTGGTACTTGAGAAATTGTCGATTCTCCTCTGCATCCAAGTCAAATGACAAGGGAAATGTGCAGATGAGGTTTGCAGGAAAGACCTTGGAACCCTACATCCATTCAATACTCCAGACGTGGTAAGGTTAGAATGTCTCGGAACAAAATGGTCTACTGTGGATAATGAAGAGGAACTGAAGTAGTGCTGCAATGGAGGCCCGAAGCAGACCAAGGGTTCCCTGCAGAAGAACAAACTTTGTCATCCATTAATGGCAAATTACATTACTCAAGAAGATCTTCATACGGTAACGGTATCGAGGAATAGCTCAGATGCACTGCTGCACTAGCAATTAACCAGTCAATGGGAGGGAAAAAGAACCTCCCCATGTTCCTCAAATCGCAAAATTTGATAAAGATTACCCATAGCCATAGGGAGACCAAAGGATTTGTACAAAGTATAAAAATCCTACCTTTCTACCAATCTTTCTTCCTACCATTCATCTAGAAAAAGGCCAATCATACAGCAGTACAATTTCAAGCGAGATAAAGGGAGTGAAAGAGTACAAGGATGAATGTGCTGAAATGAATTGATTGAAAAAGGGATGGATTATACCCACCTGCAGCCGCGATTAGCAGCGGGAAGCCGCCGACCAAGACGACGGCTGCCCCATATCATAGCCTGGGCGCGCATTTGGCTGTGGCGGTGGTAGTGATAAAGATTAAAGAAGCGGCAGTTCACACTTCACCGGAGCTGAGCTGCCCGGCAATGGAATTTCAGAGCTTTTTTTGCCCTCTCCTGAACCCTCTGTTTCTGAACAAGCTGCTTCCTTTTCATTCATAAAAATAAAACTCAACCAGGCTGAAGTCCATACACCGAATTATTTTCAGTAAATGAGAAAGATTAAGATGGGCCCTATCCACCCAAAAATATTTTGGTCCCATGGGCCTGCCGGCCTGCGCTAAATATTAGAACTAGGGTTCAAAGCACAAGAAGTGCACTGCATGGCTCACCCTCGAAACGGTGTCGTCTTCAACTGGACCTGAATTTCGAATCGAAATTCTAGGTTAGAAATCGCAGCTGCTTCTCCTCGTATTGCTCCGTTCCCTTCGAACCGGCCCTCTGCTCTGCTATTCGCCAGTTCTCCTCGTCGCCGACTGCCAACAGCAAACCTCTTCTCCAGTTTTCCTCACCGCCGACTGCCAACGGCCGCAACTTCTTCTCCAGTTCTCTTCATTTAAGTAAGTCAAACAAAGTTCGGGTGCTTATCTTTTGTAATATACTGTTGTTACACTCGACTCGTTGAGCACTTTCAGCTTTTCCAGTTGCTATTGATGCTATCGGCGGAGTTGAAGCATGCCGCAGATCATGAATTTGTCGATGATATGTGTGGTTTTGTTAAACACAGTTTTTCTTTTTATCAAGTATGGATTTCTGATGATGATGAATGAACTTGCTGTTGACGTTAAGTGCTTGTTGTTAAGTGTTTCTACTAAAAATTGATATGTTCGTTTCCAACGCTTAAAACTGCCTAGGCGAGCAGGCTGGACTCCAACGCCCGCCTTAAGCCTAGTGAATTCTTCAACCCTGGTCCTTTCGTAGGATGCTGTGGTTTTATTATCATGTCTGCTCTTTCCGTAGTACCTAGTCTAGTATAGTTGTTTACAAATTTTTTCGGGGTGGTTCTCCATGGGGTCTATAGTTTTCAAAAGGCCTGCCATGAGCGGTGCCATCGTACATGAGGCATATGGTCATATTGTCATTCTTATGATTTTGCAATTTCGGAGAAATGGACATCCTCCAAGGTTTACAACTGCTTCTTGGTTCAGGAGTTGGCGAGGAGGCGGAAAGAAGATGATCAAGAGGCGGTTTTATAGGTTGGAACATGGTGACAAAGATGAAGCATCTTCAGATTCATCGTCCTCCTCCTCGTCTGACTCTGATGTTGAAGCAGAATCATCGGACGAATCAGCTCATGATGCAACTGCTGAAGACGTTGATCAGCAAGATGTCACTTCCTCTGCTTCCTCTGGTTTGTCAACCAACACCTCCCCTGCCCTTCCAGTTTTCATCATATTGATGTTATATCATTTTCAGAAGTATTGTTCTTTGCATGAATTAAAGAGAGGGCTTTACATTTTCCCCTGTGATGAAATTGAATTTTTATTCTAGTCCTGATTTTTGTTTATTGCGACTTCTTTTCAATGGGATTAAATTGTTCTATTTACTCGTATCCATGTCAGGATATGAAAGTGAGGAAAGCTCTGCCGCCGAGGTCAATGAGGATACATCAGGTAGAAACTCAGTCAGAATTATTTCCTGTTGCTTCATATAAAATTTTGTGTTGAGGAAGTGTCTGTATTCTTTTTGCCTGTGATTTGGGGTACCTTAATTTTTGTAAAATATTGAGCTTATTTGCCAATGTTCATTTGCATGAGGCTGCCTTTGTGATGTTTATAGAATTTTTTTATTATTTTTTTTATTTTTTATGTTCGGTTATTATATTTTTAGGTTAAACTTGTTTTCGTATTTGTTCGGCATATGGTCTTTGATTCAAATTTCTCATATTGGAATCCTCTCATATATAATGTAGCAGTAGCTAGTAAATCCAAGCAGATAAGGTATGAAATTTAGCGGTCCATTGAGTAAGGGCCTTAAGTGCTCGTAAGTTGGTTTCTTATTCTATGTTTTCAGAATACAGCTTTAAAATGTCTGTTCATTTTTGATTTTTCATCGGTGACTGTTTCTGATCATTATATACCTATTTGCCAGAGAAGTATCTCTGGGGATTAGGGCAAAGGTACCTTTTGTGTTGAACACAGAGCGCAAGCAACAGGCTGACTGTGAATTCTTTGTTTGAGATTTGTTTATAAGGTTCCTTCTTTCACCGTAGCTGCCAACTACCATGATTTTTATCATCTTGTTGCTACACTTGCAATAACTAATTATTTCCAATTATCCGTCCAAAGTGATAGTTGTTCTGTGACATGCACAAACATTATAGTTGCATTGTTTTCTTAGAGACATGCTCAAGTTCAGTCTGATCAATCATCAACGTATCATTTTATTATTTTACGCAAGTGCCTTAAAATATTGAACTTCGGCTGTGCTGAGTATTCATATCCACCAATACCACCAGGCTAGTCTAAATCAGTCAAGGTTTTGTTCATCCTCAAAAATTCTCGTTGGAGATGTCTGATGTCGTGGTGGCATCATTGCAGATTCAGAAATTGAAGATGATTCATCTGAAGACGACAAACAAACCCGTATCTCAGCCAAGTTATCTGGTAGACCCTATGGCAAACCACTGGGTAGACAGTCCAAAAATACTGATGAAGAGGAATCAGAACCAGTTGATGATATGCCAGATTGTGTACTACAGGTTAAGTCTGTATATAGGTGCAGAATCTGCCCTCGAATCATTTGCTTAACTGATCAGACTATGCGTGTCCATTTGAAATCCAAGGTGAGGCCTTGAAATTTATGTGCAAGTGTTTCTGATGTGGGTCTTCCTATTTGGCCATTTGGTCTTGATCTCGGTAGAACTCTACGTTGGTTACAGAGACATGCTCGCTCTGAGAAGCAACTGAAGGAGAATAGGCTGAAGACTGCCCTGAATAGTGATGGTGAGATGGAGAACCAGGAGACCCCAGCTGAGATGAACGCTCGAATTGTAGCCCTTGCAGAAGTACGTGGTTTTCTTATTATTTACTAAATCAAGTTAGACTATGTTTGTGAAACTGAATTAGTTTTTTTTTTTTTTTTTTTTTTTGTATGTAGGAGAAAACAAAGAGGAAGAAGAACACAGGGAGACAGCGGCAAAGGAACAGGTTGAGAAAGAAGGTACGAATTGCTGCAATAAGCTCTCGTGGCGTCTAATAGTCGTGGTGGGGTGTTCATACTAGTTACATATTAAGCTTGTTGTATTAATATTCGATTGCAGAAAACCGGAGATGATACGGTGGTGGTGGAGAAGAAAACTGATGTGGTGACGGAGAAGAACAAGAAGGAATCCACGGAAGGCCTCACGAGGAAGAGGCTAAAGAAATGATGTATGAACTCCTTCGACTCAATCAACTCCATTGATAAAAGATAGGTAGCTGGGGCGGATTGAAGCGAAAATAGGAACTCAGTAAGAATTGGTGAATCTTTGTTGTGTAAAAGTGGTAAGCTGGTTTGTGGGTTCAGTTTTGCGGCTTAAAGTGTCAAGGGGAACCCTGAAGCGTTTCTTTTCCGATACTCATTTCATGATTTGGTTAATCGCAATATGAACTTGGAACAGTGTGATATCTGCGGAGCTTCATCTCTTGTGCAAGTGGCAAGTGCAACAGTTTAAGGGATTGATATCAACTGAAATCAAAAGCTAGAGACAAATCTAGATTTTAACATCTGAGTAATCAATGGAAATCCAAATCCATTAGGCACCAATTAAATTCCATTAATCCATTACATTAGCAGCAAATTAAGGGTTTATAATGAACCAAGTCGCTCCTGAACCGTTTGGTGTCCGATTCGAGAAAAACTCATTCGACACTCGATTCGTCTTAATCGATAGCTCGTGAGCAAGTTCGTTAACTAAACGAGTCGAACTCGAGCCATATCATGTTTAGCTTGAAAGTTCGCGAGCAAGCTCGTTAACTAAATGAGTCGAACTCAAGCCATACCATGCTCAGCTTGAAAGTTTGCGAACAAGCTCATTTAACGGTTTGACAACAGAAATTATTAGAATTCATGGATTTTATGTATTAAAATTGGGATAAATATTGTGTTTTATTTTGCTAGACTTTGCTACAGGGCTGAATGTAATTTTATGCTCAGTTCTAGGTCAATCTTGAGCTATCATGAATTTTTTATGAGCTGAACTCGGTTTTGGGCTTGTTAAGCTTATTTGACAAGTCGAGCTAGAGCTTTCATTTTCATAAACGAGTAGAGCTCGAGCTTGCATATTAAAACTCGTGACGAACACGGGCCGAGTTCAAGCTTGAAAATATATTAACGTGTCGAGCCAAAACTATAACAAAATTCTGCTCGGCTCGAATTATTAACCGTCCTAGCAGCAATGTACCTTTCAAAAAGCCTAACAGATAATTGCATGGGTAGCAGAGATTGAATTGGTCTACTTGTTCTTTAAACATAACACACAAATGATAAAGATAAAATAAGAAGATTAAACATTACACATAATGTTCGGGGGAAAAAAAAGTAAATATAGAACACATATAATCAAACTGAAGACAATAGTAAGTCCTTTCATCTCTACCTCCACTTCCATCTCCATAACTGTCATGGCTTGCATTACGTGAATACTCCATAGTAGATATGAGGTTATCGTGATTGAACCAGAGAAGGTTGTTTAGTCTGGTTCTTGAAAATTTCTTCTCTTTTGGTGTTATATTGGACAAATAATTTTTCAGAATAGTCATGTTTTGTTGTAGTAGTGTCGCCCCAGCGGAGGATCCAGAACACAGAAGAGCACTGAGCCGAGTTTCATTAGAAAATTGAATAGTAAAAAAACATAATGATTATAGTTTTTTTTCTAATGTAAATTGTATACGACGGTATTTTAATTTAGTGATGCATCAATAATGGAGCCTACATCCATACCAATAGTATACACTGTTTCAAATAAAATACTTGAGCAATCGGCGAGAAATTCATCGCTTATTTTGTTGAGCAAATCAGTTCTCACATGTTTCATTGTTGAAAAGGTTCTCTTCGTAGTAGATGTTGAAACGAGCAGCATCAACACTAAACAAATCAATCGACTAATCAATTGGCATTGTGTGTCAATCCCTGCATCCACCAACTGCTCTAGTAAGTTTTCAAGGGAACAAACCTCATATTTCTTTTAGTCTTTTACGTTTTAAACTTTTAGAATTTTAGGTTTCATTGTATTTTTTTTATACGCATAATCTTTGGGGCTAAAATTTAAAGGCTAAATTTAGAGTAGTGATTTGAATATGATCATCTGAATCATTTTTTTAGGTATACCCAATTTTATTATAAAATCACACTAAGCCGAATGCCTAAAATCGAAAAATTCATAAGGACTATACTAACTACGGATCCAGAGGAGGGCTGGGCCGGGGCCCAGGGTGGCCACCCCCTGGATCCGCCACTGGTCGCCCCGTACCCCTCCATTCTCTCTCTTCTCAACATCACATTTTTGGCTTCATGTAACCGCATTCCCCTCTTGTATGCCAATTCATCTTCTTCGTGTTATATAATAATTTTTCTTGGATATTCATTCTTCTTCGTACATACTCAGTCCTTGACTCATGCCTATCTTTCATGTCATTTTCAAACTCCAGCAACTTAGCAGTGTAAATGGCTGATGGTTCAGCTACACTCCTTCATTTTTTCCTCTCCTTCTGTCTGTCCAGACCCTCAGGACGAGATAAGAAAAGTTGAATTATCTTTTGTTGCCTGGTATGTTGACATTGAGGCCTGTCAACGGAGTGGATTGAGAATCGTTACCCATGGGTTAACCATCGAATCTTGATTCATGGTGCTCGACTGTGAACCTTAACTCATTAATGAAATGGGAGTGTCATTTTTATGATTACATTGAATGAATGAAACATTGACAAATTCTCAGGGTCCTCCAGCAGTGCTTATAATTGAAAGCTTTCTCTTTAGTCTCACTCCAATAGATACTTCTTGTCATACTCTCTTATTAAACATATTAATAAATAAAGATAATAGTTAGAAAATAAAACACATTAGAATAAAATAATAAAAATATTAGGATTTTGCTACGGTGACTTGCACTTTTCGGTCGACCTCGGATATGATTAGGTCGACCTAATATGTTGTTTCAGTTTTGTCAGGCTCAATGACGCAGTGGACCTTTTGCAGCAAATGGCCGACCTCTTTGGAAAGCGAACAATATAAAAGGTCGACCCAAACATCTCAAAGGCCGACCATTTTGCTACTAAAAGGTCGACCTCATAAGTGAAAAGGTTGACCTTTGTTTCGTTAACTGATCAACATCAAAGTCGGGATTATTTATGAAAATAGTATAAACGGTCGACTTGACAAGTACGAGGTCGACCGTGTGCACACTGTATCCGTATTGTATAAGGATTCCAACACCAGAAAGTTAACCCTAACTTGTCTACCACTTAATTGGACCTAGTCTCGTCCTAAATATCTATAAATATGAATATATGTCACATTTACCGCCACCGAAACTCTGAATTTGGTTTTTTGTATGGTTAGAGCTTTTGTGAAGAAGAAGGTCGGCCACGTGAAAGGTGAGGTCGAATTATTTTAGCTATCGCCGTCATCTTGTCTAATTCATAATTTGCACCGTTTAATTTGATGTTTTGTTGCGTGCAGAAGACCATTTGGTCGACCCTACTTTCAATTAGGTTGGCCTCTGTTTGACAATTTCGAGATATTGAATTTAGGGCACAACACTTGGGACTTATGTACTTGCGAGGTAAGGAAGATCAAACCCAATAGGTCGACCTAATTCTTATCATGGTCGACCGTTTCTATTTGTTTTGCTTGTTTAACCAGAATCTCGACTTTAGCTTTGTTTGTAAGACTATGTTGTGCTTAAAAGGTCGGCCGGTCAATGTGTCTGGTCGACCTATCAATTGTTCGTGTTAGTATTACACATGTTTTTGTTGGTAAATTGATATTATTCTGCTGATAGGTCAACATAGGAAGAGCAAAGGTCGACCTAATTTGTTATGGTAGTGACAATTTATGTCTTTAAGGTCGACCTAATAATCTTTCAGGTCGACCACTTCTCTGTTGTTGGTCATGAGTTGTACAAAATTAGAGTGACCACCTTAGGGGATTTGGTCGACCGTAGTTAGGAATAGGTCGACCGAATTGTGCAAGTTACGGTGACTTGCAAGTCACCATAGGCACACCCAAAATATTAATATTGCTTAAATTTAAACATGTACATACTAGATCAGCTTCGTATGTGTCACTCGCCTGATTCCTCTATTTTTTTTTTTGCATAGCTGCCTTCCATGATTTGTATTTGGCGGTAATAACTCTAATTTGAGAATTCATGCTTTTATTAGTGCGAGTTGAGTATGAATCTTTTTCTCGAAATAGTGTCACCACTCTATCCCAAAATTTCAATACTTTTTTTATTGATGTCGACAGCTCTATCTTTCGATATGAATAACCCATGCTCCGCACAATTTATCATCTTTTCAACTTGCCTATTCACTCCTCTCTTGCCTGCATTTTTCGTTGTCAGAGATCATGTTGATAGACGAGAGAAACAATACTGCGTGAATTTTGATTTGAGTTTGAATGTATTGAACACAAAAAAGAAAGAACATATGAATATATAGAAGAATTTGTCTTTAGAATATGACAGTTACTTTATGACCGTTAGAATGTTACATTTTCTTTTGTCTTCTTTATACAAAAAAACTACACATTTGTTGGTACGAGCTATAATGAGGTTCCTATGGGCTCTATATAGCTCCAATGAGCCAATGAGTTATATAGAGCTTATAGGAGTAGCTTCCGCGATACGAGCTACGGAGAGCTCCATTGACTAAGGCTAACTCATTTTCAAGCCTCTTACTGACCAATGAGATTCCTATCAAGTTCACCTAGTGGACCTAATAACTACTTCTCCATGCCATACCTACAAAAATTGGTTCATGCATTACACATTCTGCCATGGTGTGTCTATTGATTGTACTCTTTTTGCATATACTTATTGGCTAATCTAGAAAACCATGATAATCAACATGTTATAGGGTAAGCTTTATACATATGCACATATCCAATTTCACACCAAACACCAAAGGCATTAGATTATTCAGGCCTTTGAGGAGGATAGTTCACTTTTTGATTCTTTTACTAAATATCATATCACTAAAACAGTTGAACCATGGTTGTACGACAATAATATCCTATCACTAAATTAATCTTTATGGTCTCCAATACGATTATAAACCTTGTGATAAACATCTGATATGAGACTGCCAACTGTCACATTCACATTTTACTTTAGTTATGCATATTATATTACTAACGGTGCTATACAGTGACAAGACCACTTAGGACTGACGGAGATCTCATGCACCATCTCAGATTAAAATAAACAAGAGAAGAAAATATTGTTGGTGATTATTTTGGAGTGAGTGTTGAAGAGGAGACCTCCTTATTAATTTCTAACATGTTTATCATCAATCTACTTGTCGTTTCATGAGTCATAGATAATATTTAGTTTATTCATAATATGATATATAAGATTACATAAAAAGAATACAATTCATCTATTGTTACTCCCCCACCTCTGATTTCTAATTATCATTGACACCTTTCCAACCTTAATTTCCAGTCCTGTAAGATTATAATCGAGCTCTTCGTGATTTTCCAGAGCCAGATTGCCACAACCTCCTCAAAATCAAGCTCTTCATTTGTTGACTTTGACAAGGTAAAGTTGTTAAATTTTACTACTATTTGTCCTCAAGAGTTCTTGAAAGTTGACACCTTACATCTTGACCTTCATCAACCTAGATGTTCATGTATTGGATATGAAGACAATTAAGAGGTTTGCAGATTGAATGTATTTGATGAACTTTCAAGAGAAATGATTTTGTCCAAAAAGTATCTAGTGTTTGCATTAGTGTATCGACTTCTTAAGTTGACATTATTGTTACATGCCGGCACTGGAAAAAGCATATTCTACAATCTACTACGTGAAGCACACAATTCAAAATCGAATGAGTGGTAAAATTCTTTAGCTATTCATGGTAGGGCACATCAAGAGTGAGATCCTTACTAGTTTGAATAATTAATTTATTTTTGAAACTTTTCAAAATATGAAACATGATGTGAATCATTGTAAACCATTAATTTTTTTTAGGTTTGACCTACCTCAACTAAAATCCTACTACAACACTCGTGCAGTCGTGCTACATACGACCATTCTTTTAAAGTTTGCAAGAGAATAGTTTTCATTTACCTTGTTACTGCCTTGGATATTGATTATATTTTGATCATATTGGAAGTGTAAGTCAAAATTTTATCAATACATAAATATTGAAAATCGCTTTAAGTGTCTTATTTTTTTTATATAAACGTGATACTGTTTTATTAAAGGGTTAATATTTTCGTATGGCCTGAACTTTGACCAAAATAAACATCCTGGCCAATCTTTCCGATCTATAACATCCTGGCCCGAACTATACACCAAAATAAACAATTTGGCCAGACCCGACTTTTGACCGTTAACTTGGACGGTCAAACATGTTGACCGTTAGTCAACGCGCCATGTCACTGCCAAATCAGCATAAAATATTTAAAATAATTCACAATTTCCACACATTCCCTAATTTTAAATTATTATAAATTTTAAAAAATCATCTAATACCTTAGTTAAACAAAAAATAAAAAAAGAAAACATTAAATATTTATCAGATCTTCTGACTTAGCAGTGACGTGGCGCGTTGACCGTTAGTCAACGCGTTTGACCGTCCAAGTTAACGGTCAAACATCGGGTTTGGCCAAATTGTTTATTTTGGTGTATAGTTCGGGCCAGGATGTTATAGATCGAAAAGATTGGCCAGGATGTTTATTTTCGTCAAAGTTCAGGCCATACGAAAATATTAACCCTTTATTAAATTATACTTAGAAGAAACAAAGGATTATCAAAATAAACAGGCTACTAGGGCTATTACAAGTGAAAATAGCTTTGAGGTCTAGCCCTTTAAACTCAAAACCATCGGAATAGTAGGCACAAAGCATTGTCATGGGACAATCCAAGTACCACATCAGTAATACAAGAGAAGAAACCCTTGTATATTAGTGTCCACCTAACCCAATTAGTATGAGGCCTTTATGGAGGGTTACCCAAGAGTAAATCGTGCGGGTTTGGCCCAAAGCAGATAATCGCTAAGGAGAGGATACAAAGTTCGTGGTCGTTGTATTGAGGGGAGGATTGTTATCCAAATACTACATCGGTAATACAAGGGAAGGAACTCTTGTATATTAGTGTCAACCTTGTCATAATCGATAAGGATGACAATTTCGATCTAGCCCGTTTTACCCGATCTGTTTGACCTGTTTTGGGGCGGGCATGGGTATTCTCATCGACCCGACCTACCCTGACCCGTTTCATTCTCGACCCGTTCTTGCCTAAGTTACATGTAATCTTAGTCAAATTACTTAGGATTTTCCTTTTATTGCATCATATTTTAGCTATTATAAAGTTGTAAATTAGTGAAACCCTCAACTTCTTCAATAATTTAATTACATTTTATCATATTATGATTTCTTTTCTTGGTCTTAAATGAAAATAATGAAAATTTATAATGATTTCCATATAAATTACATACCTATTGGGTCGACTTGCCATAATCCATGCCCCGTAATAAATTATCCGATTTGGACTCGACCTGCCATGGGGCGGGTTACCCGCCCCGGACCTGTCCCATTGCCATTCGTAATAATCGACTAGCTCAATTCGTACGATATTGTCCACTTTGGGCCAAGCCTGCACGGTTTTACTCTTGGGTATTCTTCCCAAAATGCCTCGTACTAATTGGGACTCTAATATAAAACTGTTTCTTCCCTTGTATTACCGATGTGGTACTTGGATTGTCCCATAACAAACGTCTTATTTCCTATCAATTTTTATATTGATTCATCTTAAGTAGATTATTTCCTACAAATCCTAAACAATTCTTATTTTGCTAATATTTACTAAACGAAAATGAATTTGGTTTGCTAATTTGACCGATATAAATAGGAAAAAGTCGACAATCTGTCAGACAACCAAGACTTTTATAAAAAAGTACTATATATGCAATAATATTACTGGGTCCTTTGTACTATGTATCACTAAGTGTAAAAAGTTCTCCAGGTTATGACACACTAATATACATGTCAAGTAGCGTGGGATGGTAAGACATTTATATGCATTCCAAATAGTTATCAATAGATAACTCTTAGTATGATATTTGTTTTGCCAAAATGTTAAGAAATTTATTAGGACAACCAAATACATTAGTGGTTTAAAACTAAAATCACTCCATTCACAATTGAAAATACTTAGTTTCGTATCCAACTTCGGGGCATTCCCTTATTTGCTACAATCCCCTCTCACTATAAATCTGTAAGAAGGTACATCAAGTGAAAGCATCAACCCTTCTTCTCTTCATATACTCCCTAATTCATAAAACAAACATCCCAACTGACCACGTTTTGTCTCCAGTTTTCCAAATGGAGACGAACCACAACACAAACATTGTCATGAAGAAAACAAGAGGGAGGCAAAAGATAGAGATAAAAAGGATTGCAAAGGAATCCGATAGGACGGTCACCTTCTCAAAGCGTCGATCAGGAATCTATAAGAAGGTAAATGAGCTTGTCACCATGACGGGTAGCGAGGTAGGATTTTTGGTATTTTCTCCTGCAGGGAAACCCTTCACTTATGGTGATCCTTCCTTTGAGGATCTTGCACTTCGGTACCTGGGCCAGCAACAAGAGCCTCAATTACCTCTCAATCAAGGGATGTACAGGCAAGCTAGGATCGAAGAGCTACTCTGGACCCACAACAAGCTAATGGAATTGATGGAAGAAGAAGAGAAGAAAGTGAAGGTTTTGAGGGCAAAGCTTGCGAGAAAGCCAATGAATAATTGGTGGAACAAAGGGATTAAGGAGGTGGAGGTGGAAGAGCTTCCAGATCGTGAGGATGCCTACTCGAAGGTGTTTATGATGGTTGAAAACAGGAGGACAGAAGTAATTGGCCTTACCAATAACATCAATAATTATGCTCTTGGTGGTGCTTCTTCCTCTACTATTTCTGAGCCTTCTCAATACCAATTGATGAGCATGAGATCGATGTTTGGGTCATTTGGTGAAACCATTAATCAATAGGTGAACATCGCGACAATGCCTAATAATCATCCAATGGCTGGTCAACCGGGAAATGAGAATGATGATATTGGTCACCTTTCCTCATCGTTTGGGTTCCCTCATGTTGATGCTTCTGGCTGTTGTCCTAAGTCGCTCTAGGAAATATGTTGTCTTCAATAATGTTAAGTTCTTTTTGAATCAAATCCAAATAGTGGATTTTGCAACACATTAATATATGTTTTAGTTTGGTTGGAATGTTTTTTTAATTTCAAATCTTTTCGCGACATAGTTTAAAGATTAAAAAATTTATCTTGTTTGGAAATGTTATACAAAGTTGAATAATATGTGTTTCATAAGGAAGTGAATTTTAGCTTATTGTTTAAAATTGCAATACTAATTATTCAATAAGCATTATGAGTTGAAAGAAACGAAGAAGAAAGAGTTCAAAGAAATGACACACTACAAGAAAATATGCTTTCACCAACCATCACTAATGGTCGCCCAAACTAAGAAAATGGTTGCCGAAACCTTTCAGCGACCATAAAATTTGGCCGCCAAGATGGACGACAATACTGTGACATAAGTCTGAGGAGACCCTTTTCTTGATCGGTTGCCAAAAACCTACTTTAGGCAACTATAAAATATGGTCGGGGGAAGAACTTTTCGGCGATGATCTAACAATGGTTGGTTGTACATGTTTCTAGCGATGATCTAAAATGGTTGGTACAAGACCATAATTTCAACAAACACTATTATGGTTGCCTAATGAGATATTTCAGCAACTATTTGTCAGGGTCACCAAACAATGCGTAAAAGGTAGGGTAGTTAGGCAACTCATGAATATGGTTGCCAAAAGGCATATTTAAGGGACAATATGGTTGGTTGTACATTTATCATTAAATTATATTGTTGGATAATGCTGATTATAAATTAAGTAACAAACAAAGCATATCATACTCCAAACTCGATTTAATTCATGATCTAGATAGGGATATCTCACTTGGAGTATAGTATACTCCAAGAGTACACTAGTCTGACCCATTCATATGGTAATGACTGGTGTACTTCAACCCTCCAGGAGTATACCATACTCCATGTGATATGACCGTTAGATATACTTTTCTGAGCTCCGACTAATCTCAACGGTCAATTATTATTTTCTATAAAATTGAACTTCGGGTTTGAGTTTAGAGAATCGAGGTCTGGGGTCTATTCATTAGAGGTTAGGGTATATTATCATACCCCAAACTCGATTTAATTCATGGTCTAGATAGGGATATCTCACTAGAAGTACCTAGAGTATATTATATTCCAAGAGTACACCAGTCTGACCCTTTCATATGGTAAAGACTGGTGTACTCCAGGAGTATATCTGTTAGATCTCCTTTTCTAAGCTCCAACCAATCTCAACGGTCAATTAATATTTTCTATAAAATTGAACTTCGGGTTTGAGTTTAGAGAATCGAGGCCTGGAGTTTATTAATTAGATTTTAGGTTATAGTATCATACCCCAAACTTGATTTAATTCATGGTCTAGATAGAGATATCTCACTAGAAGTAACTGGAGTATAGTATATTGATATGAGCTTAAAGGTTAGCAAATCTATACTAGTCTCTTCAGGCATTCTCCATGTCAATATCAGTGTTGTACTCCTTCTGTAATTTCAACAAATAGAAGCAAAAGTCATCTTATGTTAACAAAAGCCATTTATCTACACATTATTAACTTCATAGCTACTAACTATGCATTCTGGACAAGATACTTCTTTAATTTTATTAACACTAGAATCTGTACAACACATCTCACCTGAAAAGTTGTAGAAAATACACATCCAATTCAAGTTCTACCGAGATCAATAGTAGATAGAAAATCAAACATTAAATCAACATGGTGCAATTACAACTCAGAAGAAAAAATAATGACAAGGTTGAAGTTAAAGAATACAAATACAGTTTATCCCACTAGTTTTTGAATGGTTGCTGTAGGTTTGGTAAAGGTTATGTATAAACAATGATTTTTTTAACGATTGAAAATCGTTGATGAAGTATTGTTTTATTGACGACCTTTTAACAAATAGTTGTTTAATAGTAGGATATCAACAACCATTTTACATATAGTTGATTAAGTGTTGATCTTTTGACAACCATTTTACAGTGGTTGCTCAAAGGTTGTGTATCAGCAACCATTCTTTTAATGGTTGGAAAAGCCTAGTTATATTGTTTATGATCGAAAAAAGTGGTTACCAGAGAGAATTGAGGAGGGAGAAGGAGGTGCCGAAGACTCTTCTTCAATTTGAGAAATCAGTGGCGAAGGAAGACAAAGGAGGAAGATGAGGAGGAGATTAATCGATGATTTTAGAATACGAGAAAAAGAGAGGAAGGCGACGAAGGCGTTGGATAAGGAATGGGAGTTCGACATCCAGAGAAAGCGAAAGAGATAGGTTTTATGTGTTTGGTTGAATAAATAGTGGAGATTCATTTAGATGGAGCTTTGAATTTTGCTCAATCAGCACCATTTCAGTAATGGTTGCTCAAACATCAATTATCAACAACTATTTTGATAATGGTTAATGAAGTATTGACATTTCGGCAACCATCCTTCAAATCGTTGCTCAAACTTTGCTCAATTAGCAACCATTTATGTAACGGTTGCGCAGACATCAAGTACCAACAACTATTTTTATAATGGTTGGTCAAGTATTGAGTTTTTGGCAACCATCTTACAAGTCGTTGCTTAACATTTGCACAATCAGCAACCATTTAAGTAATTGTTGTACAAACATCAAGTATTAGCAACTATTTTGATAATGGTTGGTGAAGCAGTGATTTTTTGGCAACCATTTTTGCTAGTAGTTGTCGAAGACTTAGGTACCAGCAACGATTTTCAAAATGCGTGCAGAAGTTTTGAACATTGACGACCATTCTACAATGGTTGCTCAAAGGTTGGGCATAACCAACCAATTTCTGAATGGTAGCCAAAAGCCTAGTTTTCAGCAACCATTTTCTAACTGAATGGCTAAACGTCACCCTAATCTTTCTAGTATCGCCCTAACTTAAAAATGGAAATTACATAATCGTCCATAAAAACAAAAAAATCACAAATAAATCCATCCTAACAAAAAATACCCAATCCACCATCGACGTCTTCCTGCATCCACCAAATCCGCCGTCGACTTCCTTCCGGCAACCACCCAATCCGTTGTCGACTTCTTTCTGGCAACCACCCAATCCGCATGCCATCCTTATTCCCCCCCCCCCCACCACCATTGCTATATAAATATAGATATAGGGGTTATTTTTGGGATCGCTTGTGAAAAAGGGAAACAATTAAGCGGCAATTTCATCCTTAAATTCAATGAGGGTAATTATTCCGGGCGTGACAAGTACGTATACCCAGCAATGGCGGTAGCATCCTGTCAACGCTCTTGCACTACCGATGAGAACTAATAAATTGGTGAGTGGTGTCTCAATGGGTCGACGACTACGAGATCCTATGCGCAACGGGTTGGTGATCGATGCGGTTAAGACGAACGGAGGTGGACAGTTGTGGTGGCAGTCGGTAGTGGAGACGGTGACAAGTTGTGGTTAGCGCAACGGTGGAGAATATTTTTTTTCATTGTTAGATGTTTGTGTTTGTTATAATAAATATCTCCTAAAAATAAAAAGAGAAGGGTAAAGTTATAATTTTAATTCCTAAGTTAGGGCGATTATTAAAAAGCTAGAGCAACATTTAGCAACCCCCTTTTCTTATGGTCGCTAATAAAATGGTTGTTGAAGCCCCTTTTCTGGTAGTGACAATATGATTGGTGAGGGTAGTATTATATTGGGTTTCGATAAAATGGACAAGGACAAAGTTGGAAGAAAGAGAGATAATGTGGGATCAATCCATGGAGTCGACAATGAGAATTAATGAAAATGTCTTGCACATCGACGCATCGGATGAAAACATTAGTAATTACATGATCAGTTGGAAGTCGTCCGTCTATATGTTCTACATCATCAGCGACCTTGGTGTACCAAATTAAAGGTTCTTCTTCATAGTGAGTGGCACAACTACGTACAATTCAAACAGGGACTGCAAGAGGCTCAAAAGCTTTCTCGCTGGAAAGTCTATTGAATATGTTCCATGATCGGATCTTTTACACCGAAGGTTTGAATTTCGTTTCACCACTAGTGGACCGAAGGTTTGGTTTCGTTTGACCATTGGGCAACTCCAAATTCGGCCAATTTTATTTTTTCCAATTGATTCATGCTTTCAAAAAAATTATATTGTAATGAATCTTATTTGAATACTTTTAGGTGAATGGTTTTTTAGTGGTGTGTTTGTTTTTCAAAAACTAATACAAAATGAAAGGAGGTGAATGGTTTTTCAGAACGACGTGTAGCAACCCTTCTAATTTGATGTTTAACAAGTCAAAATTGTTGACTTTTACTATACTAGTTTCCACTTTCCAACCCAAACATCCGTTTATACAGTATTGCGAAAAGTCAAAAGACCTTGACCCGCATGCTTACGATTCCTATGTCAATACCAGTGCAGAGTTAAAAGGACTCATCATTCCAACTACGAAAAAGCTACCCACCAACAAGCGGTAAATATATACGATGAAAACCAAGTAAACGAGCTAGCTAGTTGACTAAAACAGATTAATGAACATCGAGCTTGCAGAAAACATGAAGTAGTGCTTGTTTCTCTCGTCACAAGCTTCCAAATATGGGCAGAAGAATGTTGATCTCTGAAGTATGTTGACGTCCTAGTTCATACACTATTGACACATCGAATTGATGGCGAGTTTTCTAACCGATTATGTGATCAGATCAAGTTTTCAATACATTATTGGCACACCAGATAACTACACGGTTCACTAATATGTTGAAATGCGTTAGCAAATCATGTGGGACTGCCGGACTGGTGCCAACATTTCATTAGAGAGAAAGGATTTACTGAGTCGGAATCACTAACTAGTAAGCAAATGTAGGATTGGTGCCAACAGTTCATCAGAGAAGAAATGATTCATTGA